GTGAGGAGTGCAGGACAGGGCCTTATGAGATTTTTGAAACCAGAAGCCTCCTTTACTCATTAACTAGAAGAAGTGAATTGGTCTTAAAAGTAGAATTTGCTTGAAACTTTACCCATCCGCCAGACTGACTTGAACTTGAAAGTTCATTATGCTTGGATTCACTTGTATGACTTGCTTATCTCCCTCCTTTATTCTTTTCAGCAACCAGCATGGCTGTGCTTTCTTATCTATAACTAAGGCTACATTTTTGTGTATTTTTAGTGTATTTTTAGTAAAAGTAATGGAGAAGTCATGGGCAGTAAACAAAAATTCACGGCCCATGACCTGACCATGATTTTTACTATATACCCCTGACTAAAACTTGGGGAGGGGGCAGTTCGGGGGGCACCGCTGGTGCTGGGGAGAGTGGCCCAGAGGGTGCCATGGGTGCTGGGGGGGGGTGTTGGCGGAGCTGGGGCAGGCTTCCTACCCAGCTCCTGGGAAGCAGCAACCTCCAGCTCCTAGCTCCATGTGCTGCCTCTGCTCCACCCCAAGTCTCAGCTCTGCCGCTCCCATTGGCTGGGAACTGTGGCCAATAGGAGCCATGGGGATGGTGCCTGCGGCTGGACGCAGCACGTAGAGCTAGGAGCTGAAGGAGTGAAGTTCCTGTCGCCCTTACGGGCGCCTCCCCGCCAGGTAAGCACCGCCCCATGCCCCAACCCCCAGCTCTGAGCTCCCCACACCCACACCCAAACTCCTATTGCTGGGGGAGGGGGGTCCCGAGACTGCCCCAGCAGCAGCCAGTGCAACTGGCCCAGGGGCTGCCCGAGCTGCTCAGGCAGCTCCCAAGCCATCCGCATGGGCCACTGCAGAAGTCACAGAAAGTCACGGATTCTGTGACCTCTGTGACAAACACAGAGCCTTACCTATAACCTCTCATTAGATCCCCATTACTCTTTCCCTTCTTCCAACCCTTCAGTAGCACCTATTCCTTCCATGCAAACATCCAATTAGTTCCCCAATTCACCCTTCACCCAACTTTACTGATCATGTCCAAACATATTCCATCTGTTTAGTCCTTGTCTGTGCTGAATTCAAATGTCTAGCTCTCTGGAGCACTTAGTCCCAGAGAGCACAAAGTAGAATTCAGTAGAGGCCTGAGGCCAGCAGAAACTCTTCCAGAGCTATTGGAGAGCAGCAGGGAGTTGAAAAGGATTCAGGGAATTAACTGAATGATGGGGACAGGGAAGGGGCTGAGTGGTTATTGAAGGGTCTGAGGCAGTGAAAGAGAGAAAAGTGGTCTTTATAGGGTTTCTTTGTTTCTTAATTCTTTAAACCTTTCCTCAGGGTCCTAATTAAATTTCCTACCTAAAATTGTACCTTGCTGACATATTTTTCTTCACAGTAGAACTTCACTACAGTTAAGCACAGTTTTGTTTTGCCAGTCAAAGCATTTCAGTAAAGAATCTACTAAATTGTACTCTGAAAAGTTTGGGGATGCAATCCTGAGGTCCTTACCTAGTATTTGGTTAGTACTCACTCAGCTACTTATTCCCCCTCCTCACCATTTTTACTTAGTCCATACTCATGAACTCCCATTGACTTCAATGGAAACAAGATCAGGCCCTAGATTATTGTACAGAAGGGGCTTGAGTCTCCCCTCACTAGTTTTACATCAATACAACACCATTTAACTAAACTGATTCACTCCTGATATAATAAGAGAAGAATCAGATCCAATATTCCTTACAAATGGTTTGATACTGTGAAGTGCTGAATACTTTCAGCTTTCATCAGGAGGAGCTCAGCATCTTCCCAGATGTTTTACAGATGCCAAAGAGCCAAGGGAAGGTTCACTTTTATTCATTTGAGCAAAGTCTCTGAATTTCACCTGGTACAATGTGCAAGGAGTATGTGCATGTTTCTTTATTTAATTAATAACATACTAATACTTTTCTCCATTATGTGGATATGGAAGAGTAAAGACAAACAAATAAAACACCTTGCATAGATGTTCAAACAATTGTTTAAGATTCAAATAAGCTAGCTCAAGAAATAAGAAATAAAGCTGAATTAAATATATGAACAGGTTAAAACTGTTGGGAGCATAATGTTGAAGAGATAAGTATTTCTAACTGGTATTGTTAGTAAATATTAAGTTTCTCCAGGACTCAAATTCAAGCTACAGGAGGAATAATTATTTTAAAATGTCTCTTTGAAGTTTAGGATGAGGATCAATGAATAGAAGAAGTAGGACAAAACCCAAATGTACTGATTATTATCCCTGGGATTTTGTCCATGTTATTATATCCCACAGAGGGGTCTAATATGGGACCTATGGGAACTGTTTGGTAAACTCTGTAATGTGAGAATCTTACTATGATGTCCAAATCTCACATTTGTATGCTCCAATCAGCACTTAGGCATCTAAAGTAGGCACTTGAATGCTGAAGGCAGAACTGATCACTCAAGGAGCCTCACATTACAAAGAGGTCTCCATGTTTCAATTTTTCTTTAATACAGGCAACTGCAAAAAATTCCCAATTTGGATGAAGAATATTGCTAAAACTCTTCTTGTGTTTGTGTGGGTGGCGCCCAATACTGTTCTTTTCTGTAAGACTAACACCCAAGATTTGTATTTGAAAATAGAGCTAAATAAATCATCAAATATTGTACTAGTCACAATTGTAACCCTGGACAAGATTATTTATCATGTTTATACTGTAAATGGGAGGAGAAGAAGGTGGCAGAGGTTATCAAAAGTAGCCCAAGTATTTGTGACTAAACTATAAATTGAACTACAATCCAGCTATAACTCACTTAGGAAGACTGCTTATCCTTGATAGATGAAAACCAGAGCTTCTTACATTTTTAGGAGACACTATTCTGCTCAACTGTACCAATTTCGTAGCTCTTATCCCTCGACTCCCAAGAGACATACACACATTAGGCAGTTGTAAATCAACAGTAACATTTTTACTGAAATCATTTAATTATCTGGTACTCCCTTACTTGTTAATCTCCAGTGAGTGCATCCCATATCGACTTTCAATGAAATACTTGCCAGGGTGAGTATGCACATTGATGGGCACATTGTTTTTGTACCTATGGAACAACAAAAACAAGATATAGTAATCTGAAGTATAAATCATTTACAATAAAAGGGCAAATGCTTGGTGTTTGGGTTACAATCTATATCATATTATTAATGAGTAGCAGAGCCACAAGTGAGATATTTCAGACCTCTATATATCAATGACAATAATAACTCTGTGGCTCTCTACACCACCATATATTCAGTCTAAAGCCTAGACGACACTTAAAACTTACGTTACCAATCTATGTTGGTATAAACCCCCGGGTAGACTTAGGCTTGGTCTACACTAAACCCCCAAATCGAAGTAAGGTACGCAACTTCAGCTACGTGAATAACGTAGCTGAAGTCGACGTACCTTAGTTCGAACTTACGGGGGTCCACACCCAGCAGGCAGGCTCCCCCGTCAACTCCGCGTACTCCTCGCGGCGAGCAGGATTACTGGAGTCGACGGGGAGCACTTCTGAGTTCGATTTATCGCGTCCAGACAAGACGCGATAAATCGAACCCAGAAGTTCGATTGCCTGCCGCCGAACCAGCGCGGTAAGTATAGACAAGCCCTTAGTTATACCCACGAAAAAGCCCTTCTTCCAGTATAGCTTATTTTATTTGGGAAACCAGTATAACAGTATTTTTAAATCATTTTTGAAACAGATCAAGCCAAAGCTATCTCTGCTAATCAACCCTTACATTGAAAGTTGCCTTTCAAGTCTTCCTACTGTTGGGAATAACAGACATTACCCATACCAGCAAATTTATGGCCACAGGGCTAAGTGTGGGGTTTTCAAAAATGCTTAAGTGAGTTAACATCACAAGTCCCATTAACTTTCAGTCTGATCTTCCTCTCAGTGCAAAGTCTAAGGAGATGGGTTTGGTGCAAGGGCATTCCACAGGGATTGGGGGTGAAGGAATCCTATCTTTCAGATTGTGTGCAACACCAGAGTTGTTTGATAGGCACTATTGCCCTGCTATTCTAGTATCCTGCCTTACAGGGAACAATGGTCAGAAGATCTACATAACAGTGGATCCAACTGCCACCACTTCTTCCCTGGACTAGCCAGTGGTGCTCCCCAGCTGCATTGTGTGGGGATGTGCAGGGCATCTATGCAGAACTCATCTCTGACCACATGCACTGACTCCCCTGATAGTAACACACAAAACAAGGGACTTGATCCAGCAAGCTACCAAACACCGTGACAGGGTTCTGAGCACCCACTGAAGTTTGTAGGAATTGAGGTCATTCAGTGCTCAGCACTGTGCAGGATCAAACCCTAAATGAATTATATCAGTTTTTAGAATCCTTGCACTCCTTTTCTTTTCATGATCATGTTAGCGAAAAATAAACGATTACATTTTTGGCAGATTTATATTCATCTGCCTCACACTTTTGAAGGACCACTTGTTATTTCTGGAAAGTCAAATAAATTCCAGAACAGCCACATCATTAGCAAATGTTGGATTGCAACCAGCCCACTATCATTATGCACTAATAACTTTTACTTTCTACTGCAAGTCCCAAATATCCTTTTCATATCTTCTTTCCAATGGAGCCAATAAAACTGCATCAGTTAATGAACCTGCATCACACTGTAAGGATTTCTAGAATGAAAGCCCCTGAAGCTTTTTAATTTGTTACCCACGGCATTCAAAATTCTTCATTGTTCACATAATGAACAACGGCTTGGAATATGTGAATGACATTTGGTTAACAAATGCTGAATGAATGTTATCAGATACAGTTCAGTGCTCTTCTTATGTCTGAGCAAAACCACCTGCTATAAGGGCTCTGAATTCATTCTTTCCATTGGTGACCAAGCACAAAGTACACATTTTTTGAAGTAAAATAATGTACTAAATTCCACTACCCAAATTTATTGCACTTTAAATTTAATTCAAGAGCCAGTTTGTCCTTGCATGCATGTTGGATACTCTCATTGACTTCAATGAGAGGCAAGGGCATATATCTGAAAGCTTCATTTAGCCCTAAATGAATATGTCAATCTTTTGGAATAATTTAAAGATAGATTTGAGCTGAAGTTAAAAAGGGTTCAAATCTGGTGTTTTGGTTTGGATCCATCTTATAGGGTTGGGCTCCAGCTACGAATTTTGATCCAAAACTGGATGTTTTCTTAAGTTCAAAATGAGTCAGATCTGAAATACCAGTTTTAGATTATCTCTTGAATAAATGCAACTAAAATATTAAATGTGTACACAACTGAAACAATTTGTCCACAGACCACTTGATCTGAATTCAGTGGAAAGACTCCCATTAACTTCAGTGGGCTTTGGATCAGGCCCATAGGTAAATTTTTGGTAGTGAGCTATTTGTCTAAAAGCACAATGCTAAGGAAATATAGATAGTAAATAAAATGACAAGTACAGCAGAGTTCCTGTAGGATGCTAAATAATTCAGGCAGCAAACCCAAACATTTGTTTAATATTTAAAATACTGATATGAGAGCAGGTTTCAGAGTGGTAGTCATGTTAGTCTTTATCAGTTTTTCTAATGCCTCCACAAATGCAGTTTCAGTTCCAGTTTATAGATCCTTTAATGTTTAGTACTGAACATAAATTAATTTTCTGTCAGTTCTTAGTTGTAAATATTTATGGCTTGATAGACACAATCTCAAAGTATTGTATAAGATAAAAGCAAGTATCAAATTCCATTTAAAGTCTGAAAAAACACCACTATGTCCCCATCTAATTGTTTCAATAACTTGATTGTATTTCTGGATAGCCCAGGCCAGATTTAAAAAAATGAGACAGAAAGGCTCCTCAGCTCAGCACTAATTAAGCATAAATTAAATTCCAGCCAGGAAAGACACTAATCCAAGAGACTTAGACTTTCATCTATGCCCCACACATTTGTAATAGAATATTTTGGGACCTCTTAGGCTAGGTCTACACTATGGGGTTAAGTTGACCTAAGTTACGCAACTCCAGATACGTGAATAATGTAGCTGTAGTCGACGTACCTTAGGTCGATTTATTGCGGTGTCTACACCACAGTGGGTCCACGGGAGAAACTCTTCTGCCAACTTACCTTATGCTTCTCGTTCCGGTGGAGTACTAGAGTTAACAGGAGAGCAATCGACAGTTGATTTAGTGGGTCTTCACTAGACCCGCTAAATCGACCCCCGGTGGATCGATCGCTGCAGCATCGATCCACGGTAAGTGGAGACAAGCCCTTAGACTAAGGCCTTGATCCAAAGACCACTGAAGTGAAAGGAAAGATTCCCACTGGGTTTAATGGACTTTGCATCAGGCCCTAAATCTATCTATGGCATATAACTTAAATAATTATGATGTGACCTCCAGGAACATGCTTGCGTCCTCACATGGAGAGAAACTAACTGAATCAGCAGCTAAGCATCTGCTCTTAACCACAGTAGCCATTAATGCTCCAGAGACAATAAAGACACTCTGATGCCTCAAAGAAAAACATTCCCTTCGAGATGGCCTTGATAATATATTTTATTTCCATTTTTTTTTTGGTTAGTTGGGACATTTTTATAAAAAACAGCAGTTTTGCACCTTAAAGATGACCTGCAAAGGATTTGTTTTTTAAATTGAGCTTGTTTGTAACCTTTATGCTTCTTTCTCTGTAAAGGTGGCCTGAAAAGTGTTTTTTAAAAAGGGAAGGCGGGCTGGGAGGATGGCCTCTGCTTGTTTTTTATCTTAGAAATATCAAAAATGTCAAATCCGGTCTTCCCTTGTTTTGTTGGAGGACTTCTGGGGCGTCTCAGAGTATGTTCATTATGAGCTCTCTCAGCTTAATTTAAAGTGTGCTAAGTATTGAAATCAGTGGGACCACTCATGGAGTAAGGAGCTACTCATTGTGAATAAGGGTGTATGGCAATCTTTCCTGCTTCTCATGAATGCCTTTGCTTTTTACATCACTGCTCTGCATTGATCACATATCTACATTGCGCTTTCCTCAGTGTCGCCCACATAGCTTTCCTGAGAATTTACCAATTCAGAATGCATATTTGCAATCAAGAACAGTATTGCTGATGAAGATACAAGCCTACCATGTAAGACGGGGTTCTGGCCAGCCAGTCACAGTACAATGTAATTTGACATTCTGTTTCTCCCAGACAGTATGGGAACGAGGCTTGATAACAAACTCAGGAGCATGTAAAAGTTTATCTTCATTCAGCTTTCTGTGAAATTCCTCAGTCTCTTCTAACTAGAACAGAAATATTTCATCATAAAACTCACCATTTGCGTATACTACTGCTCCACACCCCAAGAAAGTTTTAGAGCTTTTTCTAGGGCAATATGCAGAATGCTATTTTTATTTTAAAATCCAGATTATTATACTTAATATATCCTTCTTACTTAGACAGACAGACAATATTCTTCAGCTTCAAGATGGTCTTCTAAAATTACTAGCGATGCCACCTCCAAGGCACACAAAAATCAGCCATCTGTTGGTGGGACCAGGTGCCAAGGAAGGCAGGTCTGGTCTGTGGGCAGGGCCAGGTCCCAGGGCTGAGGGGAACCTTAGTGAAAGGCTCAACTGTTGGAAAGTTGCATAAGAGTTGGAAGGATTTAGGGGCGGGACTAAGAAGCTGCTTCCCCATTGACTGTTGTCTGCCCCCGGCATGATGCAAGCATGCAGAGTGGGAGCTGGGTGCTGGCTAGACAGACATTGACATGCCCCATTGTGCCAGACACTGTACAAACAAAAAGCAAACAAACAAACAAAAAAACCAATCCCAGGCCCAAAGTTCTTACACTCCATGGATTCATTTGTGTCTTATTACCGTTTTCTTCAGGGCCAGACGTTCAGCTGACTCTCGTATCGCTACTTTCCTTGACTTCTTTTCATGCTGCTCTTCTGTAGAGGATGAAGTGGCCACTCTAGTTGCACTAATTCCTTCGCCTGTAGCAAAGAGGTTCCTTCTGGCAATGTATGCAGCACTCTCCTTAATTCTTTCCTCTTCTGTATCTGTAATTCCGCTGACATACATTTGACTGAAGGAATTAAAAAAGCACAATCACACTGGAAAGTGGTGAGAAAACATTTCATTTATAACACTTCATTTTAGCTTGGCCCTCTCGATTTAATAATGGGCCTTAGACTCTTCAGAATGCATTTCTACTTTAAGGATCATTACCCAATAAACAATTTCATATCATATTAACAACAGATACACAGAAGGGTACAGCTCAATGACTGAGTATATCATGCTATCTAAGGTCATTACCATTTTCAGAGCATTTCTCTATTACAAGTGTGTCATGCAGGTTTTCATTTGAATACATTTCCTGTTGTACTTTCACATTTCCATGGCTATAAAGAACAGTGTAAGATATACCCATAGAGCTATCACAATAACACTTCAAATAGTGATTTGAAGCAGTGGCACTTATAATAACACCACAAACTGGAGATTACAGCAGCAGTATAACAAAGTTCTCACTTCTGATTTATATGAAAAAGAACAGTCCCAGGCTCTCTGCAATCAAACGAGCACTTTTTTCTTTAATGTCGGTAAAGTCATTTGTTCTTTAAAATATTTTTAAAAGATTATTAGCGTTTCATAAACACTTTATTCTCTTTTCAGCATCCCTCTCAGGCATTCAACAATGGAGGATACAATCAACATCAGCTCTAGTAATATTGTCACATTCAGGTGTGCAATCCAGATTAGTGAAGCATTGTGTCACCTCTTACCCTGTAACCCCAAGTGCCTCACAATGCCTTACCCCTAGCTCACTTCGTGGGATGCCCATAGTCAGCAACAAGCATGCACTCTGTTTCTGTACTGGGCAGCCCTGCTCCAATGCTTTTTGGATCCTGGGGCCTCCCTGCAATACCACAGATTTCCACCAACTGTGGTTAACAACTGGTATGGTGACTCCACATCTTCCCAACCCTGAATTTTCCCAGAAATATGTGTTCTGAAATATCCCGCCCTATCCTGGAAAAATCAGAGGGATATTATGGTTTGTTCCCGCTCTAAGGAGGAAATATTCAACAGTTTGCTACTTTAATTGGAGTTATCAACCAGTTCAGTTTAAACATAGCACTGGATTGGTTTAGATTAAAAATAAAACAGGTTTATTAACAAAAGAAGATAGGATTTAAGTGAATTCAAGTATAAGAGTTAAAGTTAGAAATGGATACCAGCAAATGAAAGTGAAAACACATATCTAAAGCTTAATCTTGCAAGGTACCTTTTGGGTTGGGATACCCATGGTTACAACACCATGAAATTTCAGATGTAAACAGATGAAAATGTGAAATTGACCAATTTTAAAACCCTCTGGCCATGAAAGTGATCAAAATGGACCATGAATTTGGTAGCGCCCTTCAAATGTTTAAGATACCATAACGTTAATGGAACGTGGATTTGATCCTCAAGCTGCTGAGCAGCTTCTGTGAGATAATAAGCACCCTCAGCTCCAAATAGGGGCTTAGCACCTTGCAGGATTGGGCCTCAAGTGTGTAGATCTACAGCTTTCTTCCTTTCCTTATCTGCCAAGGCCAAAGATCAGGGTTCAGTGTTCCCTGAAAGGGTGAATCACAGCAAAAACAACAGAGCATTTAGGGCCTGATTCCGCATTCCTTATAAAGTCAAAACTCTCATTGACATAAGTGGGAACTTTACCTGGGTATAGACTGCAGGTTCAAGCCTAAAATTATATATTTAAAATACTTTCTTCAGGAAAACAGTTCTCAATGTATGGCACCCACAAGTTTACAGCTTACATGTGTTGTTGGGTGCAGTGTTCCTGTCTATGAGCCAGATTCTGTTTCAATTAACTTTAGTGGAAATGATCTCATTGGCTTCAGTGGTAGTTGGATTGGGCACTTGTTGCTTTATATGCTAGAACATGTTTTCCCTAATTTTATCCTCCATGGACCAAATTCTGCATTGACTTATACCCTGCAATTGCACAGAAGCTGATGTTGACTCTGTGTGTGTAAGAACAAATAATAATGAGTTGAGTCTTTGTATTCCATGTGAGTGAATTTTTACAGAAGAATTTGAAACCCCTGAAAACAGAGGGTTATAATGGAAACATTATTGAAACAGTACCACCGCCAATGTACTAGCACTGTAGAATGGCTAGAATGCTGACCTTTTTAAGTACCTACTCCTTGGACAAACTATCTGTGCATGGGAAACTGTGGATTGGTTTCACAGGAGAATTTAGGTCTGATTTATAACATGCACATGGTTCAATGAGTCTGGGCTATTATCCTTCAAACAAGAATAAATACTTGACACTATTGCAACATATCACTTCCACAATCCTGGCACACAGACACCAATATGATGCCAACAAATTCACAAAAACAAAACACGTGATAAAATGCCTACTTGGACACTTAATGACCATCATGTGCCTTTTAAAACTCTTAAACTAATTCAAAATCACAGTGCGGGCCAACAAAATGGCCCAAAAAGCATTCACAACATTCTGAGTTGCCATGTGCAGGAAATAGGGTCGACAATAGGTAGTAGTATAAGGCATAATAATTGTACTGATGATAATATTTTGGAATTCTATAGCACCTTTTATTTTAGGATTTCCAGGTGCTGTACAGACAGAAATTAATTAAGCTTCACAACTCCTTTCTGAGTTAGGTACTATTATACTAATTTTACAAACAAGTAAAATGAATTACAGAGTGGTCGTGACTTGCCCCAAATCACACAACCCAGTAGTAAAGCAAAGCAAAGTAAAGCAAATCAGGAGTAATGTCATCCAGTTGCTGGACAACACTTCCTTCCAAAAGGAGGAATAAATCCTGTATTTGTAAAGGTTAGGCACACCTAAAAGGAGCCATGTTTGTCTTGGAGAGAAGGAGAAGCAGCTAATGGAACATCGCAAATGCAACACTCTTTAAAACAGCCCAGTTACCTGAGGACAGGTTTACACTACTACTGAAGTCGATCTAACTTGCATCGCTCAGGGGTATGAAAAAGACATCCCCTCAGTGACGCAAGTTACAGCAACTTAAGCGCTGTCCATATCGGCGCTATGTTGGTGGGAGAGTGTCTCCCGCCTACATAGCTTCCGCCTCTTGTGGAGGTGGAATAATTATGCCAATGGGAGTGCACTCTCCCAGTGGCTTAGAGCGTCTTCACCAGACATGCTACAGTGGTGCAGCTGCGCCGATGTAGCACTTCTAGAGTAGACCTGCCCTATATCACCTAGTGCCATAAATCGTAAGTAGCCTTAAAGGAGATTTATTGCAAATTGTGCATGAAATTTTAAATTTATCTTTTTCCATCATGGGAGACATACTTAAAACTCCAAAATAGTGTTTTGTAGGGGGCATAAGTCTTTGTATTTTAGTTGAATTAAAGAGCAGTGAATCTCTGGCAAGGAGGAGTAGGCAGGGTAAAAGAAAAATGGCTCTTGGATTTAGAGATAATGGGAGGGGATAGAACAAGAAAGAAAACCTCTGGGCTAGAGATGCCTCATCTCAAAAACAGGGTATTAAAAAGGCAAAAGCAAATGTGTCCCACTAACGAGATGAAAATTTGAATTCCACACAAAAGCATGAGGTTACACACACAGTAGAAGTGCTACAATTTACAAGTGTAAATTCAGCAGTAGCCCATGATACCACTGAATTCCACACCTTCACATAGCAACCATTCCACGTCTGACCTCTCAATCCTCATCCTGAAAGGAAACCTGCACAACACCTTCAACAGATGAGTTTGGGAACTTAAATTCATAACTCCACTGGACAATAACATAGATTTAACAGAGACATTGGTTTTATGGCCCTTTGCAACAACTTATAACACATGCTGCTGCCCACTGACCCTCCATTGTCCTACAACTGTAGAAGTATGAATTACTTCATTTTATGTGGTCTCCTACAATATTTGTGAGCCCCTTATGCTTAATCTGTCCCACCTTGTATTTAGCTTGGACACTCTAGTTTCCTTCTCCAGAACTGAAGAAGAGCTTGTGAAACTCAAAAGCTTGTCCCTTCCACCAACAGAAGTTGGTCCAATAAAAGATATTACTTCATCTACCTTGTCTCTCACACTTCATAAATGTCATGTGAAAAGCACAGCTTCGCAGGAGACATAAAAGCTAAACAGAGGTGTGTATTTGACAACAAATGGGCTTTTCTCCTGATCTCCAATCACGAGTTAGTTTTCCATGACATGTCCTGGTATGAATAAACCTGAACAAATGACTATGCCTGGACTGTCATTATCTCATAATAAATCATTATGCCATATCCCAGGAAAGTCTCCATGTTTGCCTTGGTTTTGGCTACTATGTAAAGTTCACATTCAGATTTACTTAGGACATTGCTGCAGCAGAAATTTATCACGTCAATAGCAGACATGATATAAATACCACCACTACCTGGGAGCATTAGAGTTGATTATGTTGGACTTGAGATCTTAATTAGTTTTATCGTTAACATTTTTTCCTCTGCCAGGGCAAAACATGACCAAGTTTTTTTCAATTTTGCCATATTTAACACTGACTTGATAAGAGACATTTAAATTATAGAGAAAATATTTAAACTAGAAAAGCCAACAAAATTGTGGGTACAAACTTGTTTCCAGATTTCTAGGAAGTGGGGAGCCTGACCCTTCAAATTCACCACAGATTCACAAATGTGAAAAGCCAGAAAAACCATCTGACCTATTGCATGGAATTTTACCCAGTAATTCCTGCATCAAGCCCAGGTTTCATGGCTAAATGTCCTTCCTCTCTTTCCTTCTCATAGGAAATAAGATGTGCACAGAAACAAGGGCACAAAACTAAATCAGAATACCTGAGTTTCCTTCCAGGCTTTGTCATTCACACATTCAGTGACCAGGGCAAGACACTTAACTTCTGTGTGTTTCCCCATATGCAAAGTGGAGAAAACTAACCCCCCTTTTTTAAAGCATTTTGAGGTTGATAAATAAAAAAAGAGATGGATTATTAATTATTATAATAAGGAATATTTTATGAATAAACAAGGATACCAAGAAAAAGGGAAAGGAAAACAAACATACCGTCCTGTGAACACTGGTACTACATAGTCAATGGCTTTATTTTCTTTCTCCTCAGAGAATAAACTCTGCTTTGCCCTCTTTGCTTTGGGACTCAACTTATAGGATCGATCTTCTATCATTATATTGGAATCTTTTAGTCTGAAATAAAAGCCACATCATTAGACTCAAAGAAAATTGGGAAGCTGTTGAAAAAAACATTCAGAAAACTAGAAGAAATACTAAGGATTTTATAATTTAAGCTCTCGTATGCTTTCTTAGCAAACAATTATGATGTTTCAGTTAGCAAGTTTTCAAAATGCATTTTATCTCACTGTTCATTAAAGGTGCCAAAGTGATGGGCCTTGAAATTAAATCCCTCTATGTACAGAGAATGTCCAGCATACCTAGTAGCAGTGCACATTTCACCACTCCTGTGAGCTGGGCCTTCTAGAGTTTCTATACCCCTGTCCATGGCTAGTCTGCAGAGCTTGTCAATCAAGATAGGCAGGTTCCAACTCATGTAAATCGTAATGATATTTTTTGTGATGTGGCTACCTGTTTACTAGATCTTAGACTAAGACTACCTCACCTGCTACTAAGGGCCATTGAACATCTAACAAATCCTAAAGAATTTTAATCCTCCGAACTCGATTTGAACCAGTGAACTATGGGTGAAAAGCTCTATATTCTAAAACCAGCCATGAAGTTATCTAGTTCCCCTAGCTGGAATAAATTTTTATATGCAAAACACTTCAGCGTGCTAATGCTTTTTCAACTATATGTATGCAAACTGTATGACAGCATGAATTTCAGTGACTGATAAGACCATGTACTATTACTATACCATGCTACCCCACTACCAAATAAAGAAAAAAAGCAAGCACAATGAATTAATTTGTCATTTAATGAAGGAAAAGTAGAGAAGGGGAGAAACAGAGGAAAAGAGAATGCCACAGTTGCCGAATCCACGGATTCCCCTCAACTTTGGACAAGTTTCTGAAGACAGTCAGAATACATTTAAGGCATGGGTAGTCGTACAGTATTTTGGTTTATTTTTAAAAGTGTAATAATTTAGTTTAAAAATGGAATACCAAATGCCTTCCTCTTTCCAAAAGCACATGTCCTCCTTACTGATATTTTCAGTATTACACAATACAATAATGAGCACTGAACTTATTATTAGCCATTTTTTCCTCATATTCATAATATGCTCCAAAGGTATAAGTCCCAAATAAGCATCAGCCTTTTCTAAATCCTTGGCTTGTCTACCCACTTGCAATCAGAACATGGCACAAGTAATCCAAGGATATCCGGTTTTCAGACTGTATGTCGCCAAGATCCATGTTAACACCAGCTATAAATGGGCAGCCCGAAAGGACTGACCATAGTTATCAGGCACATCTTAAGTCCAGGTATTTGGTATTGGAACCTTTGAATGAAAACGCATGATCTCCAAATCTATACTGTTAGTGCTAATACATGAAATATTCAGGTATCTATGGGCTTGTGTAGTCTGTAGGCTGAAGCCTGAGTCTAGAAGGTAACATACTTTAGAGATGTCAGTACCATAATTTGTATTCCAAGAAGGAACTTCCTGATATTCCAAAATATGTGCTAAATCCCACCCTCACTTGCAATAGTCCTGAAGGGAGAAAAAAATTACAGGCTCCCACAAACTTGGAACAAGCAGCATTGTTCCAGGTTTGGTTGCCAGGCAGAATCTCTCCATAGTGCTCAAGAAAGTGCAAGCAGGGATGTACATCTCATCCTTATCTTCAGGGCAAAGACTAGCATGTCCACTGCTACAAACTGCACACATTGACCAACAAATGGTGGTCATGTCAATTGTTTCTGCTTGGAGTTCTAGCAAATTGCATCTCACAATACTTTGCTCCTGGCCACTCTGTGAAATCCTGGAAAGGATTATACCTATATGATAAACTATGAATTACACCTCCGATCTACAGTTGTATCTAAATGGATGGATATATACCACACAAAAATCTATTAAAAGAACATTATTAAGGGTTGCAAAGGCAAGCACTCAAAAGTTAGAAAATGCCAGAATTAAGGTTGTCCCTCTGAAACATTAATTTGCCCCCTTGCGTGTCTCCATTATAAGACAGTCTTTAATTACATGATCACATGCTTTGGGCAACCTGAATAATAGGCAGTGCTACCAGCTCTGCCTATAATGTAGGGGATATCCATATGCTAAATAGGACTGACTGCATCTTTGCTGCATCTTTGACCATTGCATTTATACTCCATCCACTATTACACTATGTCTGGACTTTTCCTAATGTTTCTCCCATATTTATACACACAAAGTGGATTTATTGGATGAAATCAGCCTCTGCAGCAGAAAAGCCCAAAGAAGGGGCTAAGAGTGGGGAGAAAAATTCTGTTCATAGAATTTTCCCAATACCACTCAGATCAGAGACATTTAGGGGATGGTTTCTGCTCCACTAGCCCCCATGCCCTGTGGCAGTATGGCTCCTTCAGGAGCACTGCTCAGCAGCAGCCACAGAGCAAATCCATTAGAAACTCCAAGCTTTATAACCTCCTGCACCAAAATCCAGGCATAAACAGAGTGTGACCAACAATCTAGACAAAGCAACACAGAGCATGAGAGTGAAACAAGATATGCAGTAGTATAATGTTAGATAATATACTCATCTTTAGGATTTGTGGATGATATAATAAGAGCATTGCAGCCAAACCACAAATGCACTGTGACAAGGCATCAAACAAGTGGTAAAAATATTACATCAAGCCCAAAGCATGCTAGTTACTGTTCATAAATGAGCGCTACTCAGAAGGAAAACTAAGTTCTTTACCCACCAAAAAGTCTTATTCATGTATTACTTAAAAATGGTTCAAAACTGGCATCTTGAATTTGAACCCCTTCAAATTTCCTAAGGTTCAGATTTGAAAACCTGGATCTGAACCTGCCTTTTGATTCCTGGTTGTTTCCAAATCTAGAGAGACCAATTTTGAATTCTCATTTAGATTTAACTGAAACATAAGGGAACATCTGTTTTCATTAGATGTCAGGCCCAAAGTGGTGGAAATCTAAGTTCACTCAATTTTTCAGCACCATTAAATCCAACCCAGGCCTTTTCCACCCTTGATTCTTCCTGAAGCACAAACCCAGAACAGTAGCGTGATGGCCCAACACTGGCCTCTAAGGGATTAATAGAACCCTAGGAAAGCTGTGCAGGAGGCAGCCAATTAGAGAGGGGCTGAAAGGAACAGCCATTCAGGGCCTGGTAGTCTCATATAAGAAGAGCTGCAGGGCAGAGCAGTCAGTTACTCCCTGGAGCTTAAGGAGGGAGAACTGGGTGCCTGGCAGGCAGACAGAAAGAAGCTAGCACCCTGGACAGAGCAGTGCTGCTAGCAGGGACTGGGAGAGCTAGAGAGAGCTCCTGGCTGGCTGCTGGGATTTGCAGGCTGAGTCCCTGAGGCAAGGGCAAAGAGGGTGCTGGCTGCAGTTGCCACGGGGAAATGGTGGGACAGTTGGACTGCAGCACTTACCCTTGGAATGGGGGAGCACACATTGTGACATGGCCGGAGGGCTGTGTCATGAAGATGATACTGCAGTTCTTGGAGTGACTTGGGTCCAGGAGCAGGTGACAGTGGGCAAGGCACCATCTGGAGAGGGTGTACCAGCCTGCAGAGCTAATCCCCAAGACGGACAGCAGGAAGCAGGAGCATGGTGAGTGGAGCCCTGTCACACCTAACCTAAACCTAACTTTGATTCAGAACTGAACCTCACTTCCTTGGCTCATATCTAGTTCTAGTCAATTCTTTTCTCAAATCAGACTGTGCACAAGACTACAAGCCAGACTCTATACCCACACAAGGAATTTGGGAGAGGGAGCATAAGGAGCACCCTTACTTCCTTGTGCAGGTTATTCACATGACATATCACAATGCTGTTGGGAGAACAAGCACCAAGGGGCTGCTACTCTTCTTCCCATAAAGTGGGTGGGGATGGCCCTTGGTGGAGCCTTGGTGTGGAAGGGAAAGTAAAGTAACACAAATATAAGTATAAAAAGGCTCACAAAAGGCTTTAGAGCTATAGTAAAAATACCAGGCCCATTAATCTATGGCTCAAAGCACTTTGCCAAGTGGAGTACAGTGATTGTCAGATAGGCAGAAAAGAAAACAACATATGAAGAATGAATACAATCAATTTATATTTAAAAGGGGTAAAAATTACCTGTATTTGAGACTACCACTGTCCTTCCCTTTGCTTTACTTGTGATTTCTTTTACCAAGTATCTTTGTCTTCCCTAACTGTAACTCTCTAAAATAAAATGAGTTTGCAAAGATAAAATAAATTGCATACTCCATTTCCTATGAAGTGATCTAAGTGTGCCTTTAAAAATTTGCAGCTGAATATCCCCTCTTTTATTTTCTCTACAACTGGTATTACTGAAAAGGTCAGTTCCATTCCTGCTCAGGTACTGCAGATTCATGTAGGGAATTTCCATTAGAATGTGTAGTCCTGGCCAGCAAGAATGGACCTGAGATTTTCATTGAGAGCCATTGCACATGATAAAAATATCACACATACCCCTGCCCTGCCTTAAATTTCCAGGGCCGCCTGGGGGGGGAGGAGGGGGGCAAGTGGGGCAATTTGCCCTAGGCCCCGGGCCCCACAGGGGCCCCCACGAGAGTTTTTCGGGGCCCCTGGAGCGGAGTCCTTCACTCGCTCCAGGGCCCCCGGAAAACTCTCGTGGCGCCCGGGCCCCCGGAGCTTCTTCCGCTCCGGGTCTTCGGCGGCAATTCGGCGGCGGGCGGTCCTTCCGCTCCGGACCCGCCACCGAAGTGCCCTGAAGACCAGCGGCGGGGGGTCCTTCCCAGGACCCCTGAATCCTCTGGGCGGCCCTGTAAATTTCCCACTCACTGCCTTTAACTAAATCAACTGAGCTGAATCTCCCATGAGAGCTACCTGCTACCGTCCCTTTTGCGACAGGTAGCATTCAGTGTAGTGGTAGCTGTGCCAGTCCCAGGATATTAGAGACAAGATGGGTGAGGAATATCTTTCACAGGTTTACCAATATCTCACCCATCTTGTCGCTCTTTTGCTACAGAAAGCTGAGATTATTCCCTATATCCTTTTGACCAGACTATGGTCTGCCCCTGTGAGA